GGAGCCGCTCCGGGGCGCAGCGGAGCGGGACCGGCACCGGCACCGGGAGCGGGGCCGGGGTCGGTGCCCGGTGGGCGCAGCCATGCTGAGCCGGTTGGGTGCACTGCTGCAGCAAGCCGTGGAGACGGTGAGTGGTGGGGGGGGGCACGGTGGGACCGGGAGCGAAGAGGAGGGGGGGTGGTTCTGTGCACCCCCTGACCCTGGCTTCGGTGTGTGCAGCGGGAACCCAGCGTGGACCTGCTGGAAGCCTTCACCGAGCACTGGAAGGGTATCACCGGCTACTATCTGGAGGCCACGGGTGAGTGGGGTGCGGGGAGAGGGTCCCTGTGCCCTAGGATGGGGTCCCTGTGGTGGGGGAACACGGTCCTCGTCTCCTGGGAGAGGGCTCCCGTGCCCTAAGGTAGGGTCCTATGGCCTGGGAATAAGGTCCCCGTGCCCTGGGATGGGACCCCGTGCTCTGGGACGGGACCCCGTGCCCTGGAACGGGACCCCGTGCCCTGGAATAGGACCCCATGCATTAGCAGGGCACCGAGCCGACCCCAGTGCAGCTGACCTGGCATGCGGGGCTTTGGCATGGGACACCCTTTCCCGTACCCTAGGAGGAATTATCCAGCCGGGTGCTTGGCCCTGCCTGGCCCTGAACCCCCCCTGCACACCGGTGGGGTCAGCGCAGGGGGGTTGGAGTGGGTGTGGATGCTCATGGGAGCGTCTGCAGGCTGGGGCACGTCCCTCTCCGGGAACACGCTGCTCTCCGGGAGCACTAAAAACAGGGCCTGGAGAGCTTCAGCCCTTTCCCCAGCAGGACCTCGGTCCTTCCCGCTTGACCCCCACCACCCCTTCCCCTCCTGGGCCATGCCAGAGGGTCTTTAGGGCTGGCGGTGCCAGGCAGCACCCCACAGCCCACCTGCACAGCCGGCACCTCCGACCACAGCTCCGGCCCCGGCGGGGATGGCCGGCAGCTTGCTAGGCCATGAGCGGAAGGAGAAGCCTCGAGTGCTGCTGGGACTCCACCATCACATTGCCATCTAGCGTCGTCCCCGCAAGCAACGGTGGAGAAGGATTCTGGGCCAGCACGGCTCGGGGTGCCGCTGGCGAGCACCCCACCATTTCCACCCGAGCACCCCACCGTGCATCGCATCCCTTGCCGAGCCCGGCGGCACGCTGCCGGTGCCCTGGGGGGGGACATGCCGGAGCTCCCAATTCTCTTGTCCGCAGATGAGAGCGTCCCTGCCAGACAAACGGATATCCCCTGGCGCCTCAAGCAGATGCTGGACATCCTGGTGTACGAGGAGAAGCAGCACCCGGTGGGAGAAGCCGGCCCATGCCTCGAGTACCTGCTGCAGCACAAAGTCCTGGAGACCCTCAGCACGCTGGGCAAGGCGGAGGTGGGTGTACAGGCACCGCTTTGCGGGGGGGGGCGAGCCCCCCTGCGCTGCAGCACCTGCAGCCTTTTCCAGCTGCTTTGCATGGTGCTGCTCAGTAATGTTAATTTTGAAGCTCTTCCAGCTGGGCAGCGGGAGTTTGTGGAGCGTGAGCTGGTCGGGGTGCTTGGCTTTTTTTAGGGGGGGGGCTGGATTGCTCGGTGTAAGATCCCCATTGGGATCCTTTTTGCTGCTCCTCCGAATGGCTCTTGCACCCCATCGCACCCCTGCGTGCGCGGGAAGGGTATTTTTCACACCGGCAGCCTGTTTGCACAACTGGCACAAGGCTGCTTGGGTTCGCAGGACAAAGTGGTTTTAGACAGCCCCCTCTCGAAGTAAATATTGCCCAAATATAACCGCTCTGCTGTTCCTTTGTTGTTAATAATAATGAAGCTCCCTATAAATAGCCTTTTATTCAAATATAAGCGAACGCTAGCACAGTGTGGGCTTCAGAAACGTGTGTTGGCCCTTCTGTGGCCGTGAGGATTTGGTTTTTTGGGGTGCTGGGCTTTAAGTCCCCATCGCTAGCATTGTAGCAGCGGGAAAAGGGGAAATAATCCCCCTGGTTTTTTCTCTGCAAGGAAGTTCAATCCCTAATTGCTAAAGGGAGAGGACACTGGGGCAGGTGAGAGGACTGGGGCGTCCATGAGCCGATTTCCATCATTTTGGGGGAGCAAAACCGGGGTCTCTGCTGAGAGTGTTCTTGTAAGCCACCCACACTGACTGCTGGGTGACCTGGCAGGCAATCTGGGGCAATTACAGGGTAATCGGGTACAGAAACAGGTAACGGGGCTCTCACCGATGCCTCTCCCCATCTCCCTCCCAGTATCCCCCTGGGATGAGGCAGCAGGTCCTCCTCTTCTTCAGCCGGGTGCTGAGCCAGGTGCAGCACCCGCTCCTGCACTACCTCAACGTGCACAGACCGGTGCAGGTGAGACCCGTACCGGGGGGCTTGTCGGGGGGCCGGCGGTGCCACCAGCGATGCCATGTGCTGGGGCTGGCCACCATCCCTGCCAAACACTACCGGGAACCAATGCCCGCGGTAATGGGGCGGCACTGCTGCACCCGGGCAGGGTGGGAGAGCAGCCAGCAGCCCAGCAGCCCTCTCCCTGCCCTGCCAGAAGCTGCTCCAGCTCAGCGGTGACCGCCTGGGCTCCGGCATGGAGAAGGAAGAGGTGCAGTTCGTGGCCGTCCTCTGCACGAAGATCAAGCAGGATCCCACCCTGCTGGCATACATCCTGGAGGTGAGCAGCCCTCGGCCATCCCTGTGCTGGTGGGACATGTATGGGGTCATCTGTGGGGTTTGGCTCATTTAATTGAGCTTTTTCACGTGCTTTGCTGCTCCATCCCCACCACAAAGCAAATCGGGGCTGGTGGGAGAAAGATGGTGGGTACGATGCTTTGCTGCTCCTCTTCCTCTCCAGGGCAAGAGCATTCTGAATGGGAGGAGAGCCCAGGAGCTGCCAACCAGCCCCGTCGAAGAGGGTGCCAAGCATCCCTCGGGCACCGCCGCCGCTGCCAGCCCCCGCCAAGCCGAGCCTTCCCCGCCACGGAGGGACAGCAACCTCATCACGTCTTTGATGGGGCTGTGCAAGAGCAAGGTAGGGGGAAGGGGCTGGCAAGGAGGGGACGGTGGGCACCGCAGTCGTGTGACGCTGCCTCTCTCCTCCTCCTCCTCGCAGAAGAGCAGGGTCGCGCTGAAGGCTCGGGAAAACCTGCTCTTGCTCGTCGGGCTCGCCCAGGAGGTGGCTGCTGCCTGCCTGGTGCGGAGCAGCACCCTGTGCCAGCTGCTGACGGAGCATCTCTGTGACCTCTACAGCACCGTGCCCACCTCCATCGACCCCGCCGACGTCCTCGCCCTGGAGAGGGTCAGCTGGAGGTAAGGTGGGCGCTGGGCAGGGTCATCCCCGGGCACCGCCGAGGCTTTGCCGCAGCCCCACGTCCTCTACCCTGTGCAGGTCGCAGGGTGATGCTGCCGGCGACGGGGTTTTCCCGGGGAAGAACCTGGCTGCTTTCTTCGGCTGGCTGGACTACCTCGATGAGCTGGTGATGGGCGCCCACCCGGTAAGGAGCACCCAGCTGACCTTGCAGAGCACGGGCAGCCCCCTGCCCGCACCGCGGCTCAGCCTCTACTGTCACCCACAGGTCGTGGCGGATGCCATCACTGAGGCCGTGGAGGAAAAGTTTTTCCAGGGCATCCTGCAGCCGCAACTCCTGCAGATGTGAGTGTCTGAGGCACGAGACAGCAGCCGGGGGGAGAGTTTGTCTATCGAGGACCCCCTTTGGGACCAGGACCGTGGGGTTCCCCTCGCCTGCACCTCCTTTTTCCCTGCTGTGAGACACTGTGGTGCCTGCAGCATCCCAGCCCTCGCAGCATCCCACCCTGTCCCCGGCAGGTCTGAGCTCGACGTCCTCAGCGCCACGGCCGTGCTGACGGGGACGGTGCGGCAGATCCGCTCGCCTCCCCTTCTCCACTGCCTCGTGCTTTTCCTGCTGGGATCAGACCGGCACCCTGAGACCCCCGGGGATACCCCCCACCCTCTGCGCACCCAACTCATCGACCGCTGCAACCACCTTTCCGATGAGGTGAGCCCCATCCTAACACGGTGGGACCGGGACACGGGTGATGCCGAGGGGCAGCGCCGGTGGTCTCACCCCACTCGCCATGCCGCAGATCAGCCTGGCCAGCCTGCAGCTCTTCGAGGAGCTCCTGCGGAAACCCCACGAGCACGTGGCGCACAGCTTGGCGCTGAGGAACCTACAGGCGAGGGGCTACCTGCAGCGCAGTCCCCCTGTGCCCGACGAGCGCGGACCCCCCGAGCCGGACCCCGACGAGGATGGGCTGTGAGCGAGAGGGACCGGGGCAGGGCGAGGAGGGGGGCAGCCCCTTGGTGCCCACCCGGCTAACAAACACCCCTGTGCTGGGCCCACAGGGACCTGGAGGAGGATCCGTATTTCACCGATGGCTTCCCAGATGCCGGCTTTGGATCGGCAAAAAAGCCTCTGCCGGGATCAGCCCCGTCGGGGAAGGGGCAAGTGAGCGAGGTGGTCAGCAGGTAGGGATTTGCAGGGGCTGCTCCAGCATGCGGGGGGGGGGTTGTATCCCCCTCCCCATTGCTCTGCCCTCTCTTCCAGCTTCCTCTGCCTGGTCCCCGAGGAGGCGAAGACCTCCTCGTGCATGGAGGAAGGTGGCTACGACACCTACGTGCACGACGCCCTGGGCATGGTGAGCGGCTAAAGGGGCGGGGGGGGGGGGGCCCCTCCCTGGTGGTGATGGCCCCCTGCTCCGGCTCTCACCCACCATCACCCCCCCTGCCAGGTCCAGGCGTGCCGTGCCAACGCGGCCCCGTGGGGGTGGCCCCCGGCCCCCCGACCCCTCGATGCCTGCTACCCCGAAACGGCTTTTTACGAGGGCCATTTCCTCAAGGTTCTGTTTGACCGGATGACCCGGATCCTGGACCAGGTATAGGGGCGGCCGGTCAGGATGCTGGGGACGATGCTCTGCCCCTCGCCTTGGCACGGCTGGGGGGGCTTTTGCCCCAAAGGCTCTCCAGGGTGGCACAGCCTTTGTCTCGGCTGGGGGGGTAGTGTTTGAATAGAGGATGCTTTGGCTTCCCATGGTTATTGCCAGCACCAGGGACCCACAGCAGAGAGTGGTAAACCTCTTTCCAGGGTCCAGGACCCCCATAGTGGGGGTAAAGTGGCCGAGAGCATCGGCAGCATTTGCAGCCACCGAGCTCCTGTTGGTAGGGACAGGGTCAGGTCCCTGTCGGGGGATGCTGGGGTGGGGGGGATCAGCCATGCCGGCTCCTGCTGAGGATTCCCCCCCCCCGCCCCAGCCCTACAGCCTGAACCTGCAGGTGACCTCGGTGCTGTCCCGCCTGGCCGCCTTCCCCCATCCCCACCTCCACGAGTACCTGCTGGACCCCTACCTCAACCTGGCACCCGGCTGCCGCTCGCTCTTCTCCGTCCTCGTCAGGGTAATGTCACCTGCTGGGGTTGGGTGGGGGGGGAAACGGGACAGGGACACCCCCTAGAAATGGGACCTGACTCTTCCCCCCGTCTCCCACGCAGGTAATTGGGGACCTGATGCAGCGGCTCCAGCGTGTGCCCCATTTTAGGGCCAAGCTGCTCCTGGTGCGCCGGCAGCTCATGGGGCTGGTGCCCGGAGAGCAGTAAGTGCTGGGGGGGGGGCAAGGGATGGGGGCAATGCATGCCTTTTGAGGGGGAGTGTACCCCATTGCTCATCTCCCCGCAGGATGGACCACACGATGCTCTTCAAGGGAGTGGTGGTGCTGGAGGAGTTCTGCAAGGAGCTGGCTGCCATCGCCCTGGTCAAGGGACCACCGGAGGGGCCCCCCTGAGCTGTGGCTCCCCAGTCTCCCCGCTGAGCACCCCCTCTTTGGCTGGGCTACGGTGGCCACTGGGGATGGCCCAACCCACGTGCTGGTAGCCACCGGTGGCCCTGCTCGGACCGGCACGTCCCCAGTAGCCGGGCATGGCGGTGGCACCCCGAGAAGGACACTAGCCTCGCGGAGGAAGAGGAGGCGCAGAATCCTTCGCCACCGCCTTGGCCAACCCGGAGGTGATGCCACCTCCCCGGTGCAGGATGCGGCCCCTCTGGGTGCAATGATGTGAACCATGCTGCATTTCCTCCTGGGTGGTGGGTTCCTGCTCCCCCTGCCCCATGTCGGTGGTGCCCCGAGCCCCCACCAACCTCAAGCAGGATTTTTTTGGGCAATAATAGGATGCGCAGGCACGGTGCTGTCCTCTGCCTGCCACCCCCTCAGCTGCAAGAACTCAATCATCTCCCCCAGCTCTAGGGCAGGGGGGCGGGGGGGGGGTGTCTGTGTGTGCGGGGGGTGTGTGTGTGTGTTTGTAGCTCCTGCCTCGTGGGGATGGTGCATCCCAAACCCCACACGGCCAGGTACCATGTCCCCTGGGTGATGGGACTCTACTAGAATAAAGCCGTGAGCTCAGCACCACATACTGTGCCCCTGCCATCTATACTGCGCCTGTCCCCCTTCCCAAGCATCCCCCAAAACCGAGCTCCCCATTCCCACCGCTTCCCCCCCCCCCGCTTTCAGCCACAGCCAGGTGGATGCAAGAAGCAGCAGCCGGGTTTATTTCTGCTCTGGCTGGCTCTCAGCCCCACCTCAGCCAGGACACAGCACCATGTCCTGCCCCAAAACATCATCCCAGCCATGGGGGGGGGGGCCTCTCACGTTTGGCACTGCAAGCAGGACCCCTGGGTACATATCCCAGCTGGCCCCCCCCGTGCCCAAAGCCAGGCTGCCGGGGCTTACCGGGCACTAGCTGCGGATGGGCACCATGCCCACGGTGCGGAGCCGCTGCAGGATCCGGCCCCTCAAGCTCTCCTCCTCCACATGCCACCAGCGGAAAGCGGGGCCGCACGGCTCAGGGGGGGCAGCCCCAGGGCTGCGGGGAGGGATGCTCAGCAGCACATTGAAACAGATGCCGTCAGCCCCCCCGGGACCCCCAGCCTGGTGCTGCAGCCCCAGCAACCCCAGGGGTCCCGGACGGGGGTCCGACGGCAGGCAGTCCCGCAGCAGCCGCAGGACGGGCAGGCGGAGACCCCCGCGGAGCTCAGCCGGGGACATGCCGCAGGCCACCACGGGCAGGTGGGGGGTCCCGGCGGTGCCCAGCAGGACCCAAAGGTCCCCGGCGTCGTTGGCGAAGGCCACCAGGAGCCGCAAGCAGAGCAGGGCGCAGGGCAGCTCCTGCGGCAGCGTGGGGGGATGCGGGGGGCTGCGGTGGTAGCGGGCAGCGAGGTCCAGCAAGGGCAGGATGTCCAGGGCTCGCAGCGGCAGGGCGCAGGGGTCTCCGGCCCACCACGCCGCTTGCAGAGACTCGGCGTCAGCCTCCTCCAGGGTCTTCAGGGTCCCACCTGCGGGCAGAGAGACAGCGATGCCCCAGCACAGGGGTGGTAGGGGACAGCAGGACCCCGGCACTGGGCTGGCAGAGGGTGCCGGTGCCCGGTCACGGGTCTGGTGGGGGTACCGAGACCCCATCACGGGGCTGATAGGTGACACCGATACCCCAGCACGGGGTTTGTGGGGGGATGGCCGTACCAGTGGCAGTACCGGCAGGGAACGGCGATGCCCCGGCACAAAGGGGGCAGGGGACATGATGCCCATCATGGAGCTGGCAGGGAACACGGATGCCCCGGCACAGGGCTGGCAGGGAATGCGTCAAGTGAGCCGCATCCTTCCCACGCCCCTTCAGAGCACCAAACGGGCCCAGGCACGCACCGGTGGGGCGCGCGAGGAAAGCGAAGCGGATCCACGCCGGCCCCCTCTCCTCCAGCGCCAACAAAGTGAGGGGTTCGCACTCCAGCCCCGTCTCCTCCTTCACCTCCCTCCGCATGGCAGCCACGATGCTCTCGCCGGGCTCCATCCTCCCGGCCGGCAGGTACCACCTCCCGCGGCACTCGGGCTTGGCCTCCTGCACCAGCAGCACCCTGTCCTGCGGGGAGGAGGGAGAAGGGTCGGGTGGGCACCGGGTGGCACCAGGGTGGGG